ATAGAATGCCGGAAATTAGAATCACTATTAGAAGAGTTTGTTAACTGACAAAATCATCGGTTATTCAGGATATGATTCATCGGGATCATCTTATTCGTACACTTTTCTGAAGCTCTACGAAATTTGAAGGTATTCAGAATCTTTACAATCTATGACGATTAATCCGATTATCGAACAACTCCAGATGAATAGCTTCCAGAACCAATACTTACCAACTTGTCAATTCATTAACCTTTCAGGGTATTTACTCTTTAATACCAAATATTCTTATCCACAAATCATCATCTGAGTCATCACTGAATAGATCTTAAGGAGACAAACAAATATTCTAATGGTCTTTATTTTATTTCCATGTTTCAACTATACCATGAAATGCTGACGTACTTGATTTGTGGTTCATAATCCATAGGGATAATACATCATATAAGTTCATCCGAGTTTCCAAACTTATTCCAATCTCTTACTTAATCCTCAGTCATTGAGGTTATTTAGTTCATTTAACATTCAAGTCCAATCCAGTTACTTCAGGATTTTCCAGAATAATTTAAACGTTCCTGAATTTTAGATACATGTTGTACTTCTATTCCATTCAATTTGGTCTTCGTGGTTGATTTGTTGAACAAACATCCAATTCTTAGTACTGAATACGATCTAGATCTGAGCTGAACTGAATACTTCTAAAATTTGTCATCGAGCCAAACTTGAGAAGACGAACACATGTTCCAGTAATATCTATGTCATTCAGGTATTGACATAGCTTTAGGGTTGATCTACTCACTTAAATTATTTTCCATTACCTTTAAAGGTAGTCCAATACCTATGCTTACTTGGATTCCTTAATTAATCCAAGATATTTACTTAATTTAGGCCATAAGGGTATTTTGGTAATTTTGATCTTCAGTTTTATTCCATTCATTTCAGAGCTCGAGAATATTCAATCATTCCTGAGCTTGGTGATATTCTTGGGTCATTTCCATTACAGGGGTATTTTGGTCATTTTATAGATCCACGGTATTTCAATCTTTTTCCTCCATCCGGTCTTATTATTTAATTCCAATTTATCATCTATTCCAGTCCATTCGAACAATTCTGATAAAAGAGCACCCTCCGATAAATTATTCTTCAGGTATTTACTTATAACTCGGATATTTTAGGGTCAAGTGCCTTCTCGGATTTTACAAACGCAATATTATGAAATTTTCTTTACAAAGACATAATATTAATAATTAAATTTGTACTTAATCGAGTTAAGTACAAATCCTCAAAGTATTTTCTCCTTCAGGGTCAACTCTGACTATTTTATCTCTCAAGGGCATTTTCGTAATTTTTTAACCAGATAATTTCGATATTAGCTCTTAACGAAAATAATATATAGAGATCCTATGATTAATTGCTTCATCGAACATTCTTTGATCTTGAAATGATTCCTTAAAAGACTTCTAGTATCTAGCATAAACCTTCTTGGGGTTAAAAACCGGTTATCCATTTTCCAAGTAAAACTAACATTTCTTATGCACATCAATAGTTTTAGCAGATCAATAATTCTTTTCAGATTTATTAATCCACTTCCAGAGACAATTCTTGTCATTTTCCAACATAAGAGTAATTTCATAATTTTACCAAATCGATATATTCTCATAATTTATCATCTAAGTACCTTTAGAGATAAATTATAATCTACAATCCATGGTTGATTCTTTTATCACTTAATTCCAGAACTTGTAATTTAATTCCAACTGTCCTCCAATTTCTTATAATAGTCACTGAGCCATATTCAGTTATCTACTTTCTACCGTATTCGTATCTAGTGTAGATCTTCATTAATTACACATATGAGACCAAACATTTCCATTCATGCATTTACCAATACCAACATGTTCTATAAAGCATAAAGAGGTAGTAAAATATTACCTCGATTTCCGTACAATACTGATCACAAAAATTCCATTCGCACGCCTTTGATCTTCAATTCAACTTCCAATAATTCCTCAGATACATATCAACATAAATTATATCAGAAACGGAGCTTAATTGCGATAAACTGATCGAATCGGGTGATAAATCAGTGAAAAACAGCTTATCGGGTTCGAATTTGGCAAAACGGACTTCGGATTCGGATTTAGGACGTCGAAAGCATAAAATATGACTTTTTAGTCAAAATCAAAGCCAACGGTTTGCCCGGTAATTTCGAGGCCTTCGGGTCCAAATTTCGAAAAACAGACTGCGGAATCGGATTTGGAACGTCGAAAAATGTCAGGATAGGTATACTCGGTCAAAGTCAAAGGTCGTTTAATGACTGGTCAAAGCCAGTCAAAGTTTTGGTCAATAGTGGTCAACGCCAGTCAACGGCCAACGGGTCGTCAAACGGGTCGGGTTATGACCGATCAAACCGGTCAACTAAGCACCAAAACCGGTCAAACCGGTCATTTGGACCATCCCCACGCGCAGTGGCGATGCGTGGGGCCCCTTCCAGTTGCCTAAAAATCACAGAAAAATTCTTAAAAATTATTTTGAGCGATTTTGAGATACTTACAAAGCTCGGTTCACAATTTTGAACGGCGGAGAGCTCGATTTCAACAAATCGGAAACTTTGACCGCTTCACCTCCTCACATGCCGCCGTCGACGGAGACCAAGGATGACACCGGCAGACTCGGAACGATGCAAGGAACACGATGGTGCGGGAGGTGTTGTAAACGGATGACCCGATCGTCGTGAATCTATGAAAAACCAACTAAAACCGAGTTATTACCGACGATACTTCCGACTAAAATTAACGACGAACGTCGACGATTCACGACGAAAGGTTTGAGGGGGTTTGTTCCTCGGTTGACAACGAACACGATGGTGGTTTCGGCTCATCGATCGGAGGTCGGACGACGAGTAGATCGGAGTTTAAAGAGGGGTTGACGGGAGAGGGAAACTAGAAAAATTTCCAGAAACATACCGGAGATTAGGGATTTATAACATCTCATAATTAAAATGGCTAAATCAAGAGTTTAGACACGGAACTTCCTGCACTTCATAAAATGGTCTGCCAACTTTAAAACTTTAAATTTTAATCCCCAATTTCTTCTAAAAATACCAATTAAATCCACCACTTTATAATTTCTTAATTTTAACCCCTAAATTTGGGTGTTACAAAAATGAATAACTCTTAAAATGAATAACCTCTTATTAAATATAACACATCATATTTAAAATTATATCAATTTAATATTTCTTCTTCTTCTAAATTATTTGAACTTGACCATTCATTATCATCCCTACTTGAGCATACTAGAATACTAAATAAATTTATAAATGTAAAGATATTTAAAATTACTTTTCAAAGAAATATTTGATTAATAACTAAATAGGTTTTAATATTAAATTTCATTTCAATATAGATATAGTTTGTCATGTATTCCATCAGTTTATTCCATCAGGTTTTGCATTATCTAATCCATCCCTATGATTTTAGGGAATTTTCATGTATGTTTCATAATTATTCTCATACCCATCCTTAATTACTATTTCGAATACAATCTCAAAATAAACAAACATTTTAAAATCAATTAAAACTTATAAGATATATTAGATTGTCTCAAATTAGTTTATATCTATAATATGAAAATTTCGAACGTCAATATTCATCACCTAATGTATACGTAAAATCTAAACTTCAATTTTAGTTCCTTTGAGATGTATATTAATTTTTATATATTAAATGAAAAAAGATTTAAACTTTAATTTTAGTTTATTTGATGTATATTAATTTTTGTATATTTAAATGAAAAAAAAATCTAAATTTAAATTTTATTGGCAAACACATATTATAACAGTTTTATCATATATAAATTTTTATTAAAATATATATTAAGGGAATATACGTAAATGACTATAAATATATTTTTAAAATTTTGTAAAATATTAAAGATTCCTACAAATATTTTTCAAGGATCCCTACAATTATTCACATGAATACAATTCAATTATTCCCATGATTCGAATATAACAATCCCCATCCCTATCCACATTACATTTCAGAGATAAAACTTCCCTCATCTTCATCCTCGTAGGTAAAGAATGAATTCGGTTATTCTCCATCGTATCAACTCAAATCTCCCACAATTTTTTTAGTTTTCCCGTCTGATTGTGACCCCTAATAAATACCACCATATTTGACCAAAATTTGATTAAAGTTAATAATTACACACACATTTATGACTGATTAATGTCACATTTCCTTAGAATCTTCTCTTGTTTAAGACAATCGGCTGTAAACATGACTTCTCCATCAGGTCGCTGATTCTTTTATCGTTTCGTTCTTTCCTAAGAACATAGAGGATCACAGAAAATTTCTTAAACAAATATTTTCCGACGTTCAATTACACACTTCTAATATTTGGTGTTCAAACCCAAAACTTAGGAACAACAATGATTCAATGAATCCTTTTCCATGGAGAGATTGTTTGTTTGATTACCGGTGGTGTACACAGGAACTAGAACGCTAATTTGCAATTCAACCAAGTTCAAGCTGTTCTGCTTCAGGGGGGGAAACAAAATATTTGTGGCGTTTCCAGGATCAAATGGCACGAAACAAACGCCAATGATCAGGATGACCACAGATTTTAGTATGGCGTCTGAGCCATTATGCCAAGAGGAACTAATCATCCCCCAGAATTGGTAATAGACGCTTCTGCAAACTAAACAAAATAATCGGAAAATAAATGGGGATTCAGAGCTCAGTGGAAGGAGAAGTCGTTAAAAAGAGAGGGCTCACGGCAGATCTTCCCAAAACAGAAAGATTCAAATCCACTGCCCATCAACACTTATGTGTTCTTATCTCATCATAGCAAAAACAAAATCCCCTAAAATGTCTAAAATAAAAGGTTAAGGCCTCAGTGTGTGTAACAATCAGATCATTGATTATAAAATCTCACTGAAATCCGCTAAGATAATTTTAAATTATCATCATTAGCCTCATTTTCTAAAATCAAAAAAAGAATCTGGAATGAAGAAGATTACTCAGACAGCCAAGGGTTAGTCTTCAACTTCTGGGAGAAGAAGCCCAGATCAGAAACTCTAGTCCACGAATAAATTGCTTCATCACTGCAATCTTCTTTGCTTTTAAATTTGAGAGAGAAAAAACCAACGAATTCGAAGTTCAAATTGAAATCTTTTATGAAATAATGAGCGCCGAATAGAAGGAGACTGGTGATGAGAAGAGAGGTTCGAGGGAGATTATATAGTGTGGGCGAGGGTTGAAATTAGGGTTTTCCAAAGAGTTCGTTACGTTTGGGCTAGGGTTTAGCTGTTTTGACTGAGTCGAGGCGTTGGTTGGCGGCTGAAACCTAAAGATCAATTGGGCTGGACTGAATGCATTGGGCTAACTTTTAGAACGAGTGTTCAATCTATAGTTGGTTTCAATCGAAATCTATCAGTTTTGGTATTTAAATTATAGGGTTAAATACGCATTTGGAATAATCTATAGTTTTGATCCGTTTTAATACCTAATCTTTCCTTTTTTTAAAACATACTTAATATAATTTTTCTTTTATTTTAGTACGTCGTCGTTAAAAACTTAATGGATGGACTGACGGGGCATAACTTCGATAGACAGATGATCAATCCGAACGGTGGGCCGCGAGATGATGATGAGTAGACCAACATAGCCCAATTTCAAGCCCATCCGACGGTTGATGACGGATATAAGAGGATGAAGAAGTTGAAGAGTCCATCATCGATTTAGGGGAGATTGAGACATTTTTCGATGAAATGAATACCATAATCATGTCCAGGGAGTCGAAAAGGTGCGGGCTAAAATGTTTAGACTTCATCGGCTGACGAATGGGACGACGGTAGACACAATGGCGTTTGTGTTAAAGCCAGAGTTAACCAGTCTTTTAGTTATCACTTAGTTCAAGTCTGTGGTATCTAAGGTTTTCCATTTTTAGTTTACTTATTGACAGTGGGGATTGAGTTTAGAAGGATAGGCGAAGCGGAGAGAGCAGTCCAGTCGTCGATGGTCCATACAGTATTTGTCAACAATAAGTAGAAGGAGGCTCTTTTTTGGTTCTACGTTCACGTTTGTTAGGTTCAAAAACAAGAATGAAGCCAACTTGGCGGTTCGGAAAGCCGATGGGAGGTTGATTGACGGATTCAGAATAAGAGTTTATCATGATTTAGCTTCGAAAGTATTAAGCATGAGAACAGAGTCTGGCAAATCAGAGATTAAGGTGTGGAGACCTGTTTTTAGAGATTCCAGATCTTTCAAGGGCGTTTTGGGCAGCCGGTTTGAAGAAATTAGTTTGGCACATGAAAATGTCAGAGCGAATCAGCAGATTAGGACAGTAGATTCAGGTTCTGTTGTTCATGTTAGTGTTTCGGGTGATTCTCCAATCTTAACTCAGAAAAATCAAGATGCCAATGCGAGCATCGTGGTTCCTAAGAAAGAATTACAATGGAGAGAGAGCTGTTTAGTCGGTAAATTTAAAAGGATGTACAATGAGGACATCATTCAAACTGCTTTTGAAGCTGAAGGTTTTGTTGTTAGGGTGAGCTACTGGCACGAAAGGCTGGTGGTTATCTAGTTTAAAGGTGAAACGGAGCGACATGCATGCTGGGTTAGAAGAGAGGATTGGATTCGTATCTGGTTTGATGAGTTGGAGTTTTTAGAAGGATATGAGCAAAGAGTTAAAAGGAAAATATGGTTGATTTTAAAAGATGTTCCACTGGTTATATGGAGTAATAAGTTTTTCAACGATTTAGGGAGCTTGTGGGGCTCAGTTGTTTCAATACATGAAGAAACAAGCAATAGAGTTAGATTTGATGAAGCCAAACTTCTTCTGGAAGTCAATTGTGTATCGGCGGTTCCGGAAAAATGGTTGTTATCCTTAATGGTAGGGCTTTCTCCATTAAAATCCAAACAGAGGTCTATGAAGACGAAGAGTTTTCATTGATGGCACTTCGGCCGGTGATAGAGCGTGGCAACCAGAAGTTGATGGAGAGGGTATGCTTCCAAGACTGCAGGAGGAATTTGCAGCTGATGCGGGTCTCAATGTAGGAATTAATGAGGATAGGCTTAATAATGCGCTTAGTCAGGAGTGCTTTCGGTGATCTGTCAAGTAGGATTCCACTTACATAACCTATAGTGGAAAATATGGAGGTTGTGATCGAAGGGTTTCTTGATGTGCCAGTTTTGTCTTTTGACAGGCCTATTTATCAGTGTGCTGATGATAGTATCAGATTAGTGGATATTGATAGAGAGTCAGCCAAAATTGAAGTGTCCCAATCCGTCTCTATCTATTCAAGGCTTTTTGAAGTGCCTATTGAAGAAACTTCTTATTTTCAAGCCCGGGTGGAGGGTCTTCGAATTTCAGCTCCTGCACTGAGCAAAAATAAAGATCAGAATGCTTTTGTGGGCCCTTTGTCTTCAAGTGATAAAGTAAATTCATTTTCTAGGATGATTGGATACTCCGAGCTTATTGGGTGTGATGGCGAGGAATCGTTGGATGTGCCGATTAAGTCCTCTAGCAAATCTTTTAGAATTAAGAAATTCAGCTCAATGCTGGATATTCAGGGCAAAGTTCTCTCAAAAGCTGAGAGGAGAAGAAGAGATAGAGCGCTGAGAAATTTAATTTGGAACAATCAGATTTTCTTTTTTCGGAATTATCGGATTCATCAATTTCATATTCTGTTTTAAAGCAAAGGTGGGCCGAAGTTTTTCTTGAAGCACAGGAGGCGGCGTCGATAAATAAGCAATTAGGATTTCTGTAGGAGTTGTGTCGTTAGAAGGGTGTTGGGGGGTTTTCGTTTATCATAGGGTTGCTTCAGGGTTTTGGTTACTGTTCTATAGGTTTTTGTCATTGATGTTTTGGAGTAAGGCATCCTTTGTTTTTTGCTCTATTTAGTGCTTGTTTGTTGGGTGAGTAGTTGATGAAGGTGGCCGATTTTATTTAGGGTGGTGTTTCTTGTTCTTGGTTGTGGCCTGAATGTGGTATTATAGTGTGGTTTATTGAAGTTCTTGTTGTATGGTTGTTTGAATGGTGGATTTATGGTCGGTTTTTCACCCCGTTTCTAAGTATTTTGGAGGCTATCGTACAATATTCTGTTGGGTTACCTTGGATTTTAAGTGAGTGGAAGCTCACGTGAAGAGATCAAGTGGGTTTGGAAAGTGGGAGATTCGGGCAACACTCAACTTCTTGGGAGCGATACTGTAAATTGCTTACATATACAAGGAAGATAGCAAGTTTCTTCGAGTATTATTGCAGGAAAACACGGATTGATGTTGCCTTCTATTGTTTATGATCATGTGGATATGGAATCCTTGGAGCAGTTGAGGTAGTAGCTGGTGGAAGAATTCAGTTGATGAATGAGTATTATTTGTTTTCTCTTTTGCCAGAAGAAATGGGATGATTGTTCCGATTCTATTCACTTATGTTTCTTCCTTGTGAGCTGTTTGGATTTTATTAATCCAAAATCTATATTTGGTGAGAGTTTATGAGATTATTGGAACGTGATTTATTTCAGTTTGCAGTTTCCTTTCTTTAGTGCGGGTGGTCTCGATTGGAGCTTATGTTTTCTAGCTTATTTTGGTGGATATTTCTATTATTTTTTGGTAAATGGGTAGGTTCGTACTGTCTTTGCTATCTGGTGTTTGTTTCGGTTCTTGGACGAGTTTGTTGGTAGTTAGATCTCAATAAGTGCGGTTCTCCATGTCTCGGGGCTTCTTTTTTGTTCACGCTCGGGTTGCGGGTGATGTTGTGTTTGAGGTGTTGGCTCGTTTCTTTGGATATGAAGTCGGTGTTCGATCTCGTTTTAGTTCTAATTTATTTTTTGTAGTTTGTTTGTGTTGAATGTCTTGGAAGGGGTTTGGGATTTGTAGTAAGGCTGGGTTTGAATTTGTGTGTTCAGCTTTGTGGTTTTGTTTCTTAACATCTCTACCACCCCAAGGCACACTCTTTTTTCCCATTTAAGATTAGGGGTTTTTTTTAATGAGGTCTTTGAGGTGATTTACTTTGTAAACGTTTCGTAATACAAAATACCATCTTTAAAAAAAAAGTACTAAAAAATTGATATTTTAATTACTAAACGCATAATTTACCCTAAATTGTATATTGAATGTCAATTTAAATATGATGGAGATCAATTTACCCTAAATTAATATCCGATAACGCCGTATATTAACCCGCATTTCCTGAAACAATCCCCTCCTTCACCTGTTTTATTCCAAATAAAAAATTAATTGTTGATAAGTGCACATTGCTTTCGGATCTCGCCTTCGGTTCCGGTCTTAACATTTATCCGACCCATTTTCAAATTAAAATAATACACTTGTTCGCCTTTAGGTTCTCGGCGTACTCTCGGTCGATCGTCGGGTCTGTTAAAAAAAGTGAATTTAATTGATGGATTTAATATTTATATTAAATTTGTAGTCCTTTTAATTATTACAAATTAAAAGATAATTTTTAATTTGAATATTAGTAGGATAATTACTCTTTTATTAAGTCAATTTAAAAAGACATTTGTTATTTTTTAATTTTGAATATTAAAATATAATTATATACTTTTGTATATTTTAAATTAAAATAATATATGTCTAAGTTTGAATAATAAAAAGAAATTTATCTTTTGACAATTGTAAATTAAATATATTATTTATTTTAAATATTAATAAGATAATTACTCTTTGAATATGTCTACTTAAAAAGGTATTTGTTACCATTTTAACTTTGAATATTAAAGGTAATTATTACTTTTGTATATTTTAAATTATAATAATACATATATAAGTTTAAATGGTAAAAAGAGTTTTATCTTTTGAATATTTCAAATTAAAAGATATTGTTATATGTTTAATGTTGAATATTAAAATATATTTGATTGGATTAAATCTCTATTGAAAATCCACTATAAATAGTAAGTAAACCTGTTAGGTTTTTCACATCAAACTTCTCTTATCTTGAAAAAGGTCTCTAGTTTTTTTGGTGATAGTCGAAGGTAAGAATCGTTCGTGATTGTGCAAATGTGCTACTGTAGCTGATCATTAGTTATTGTATCCTGGAGACAGACGACCAACGAACTCGAGCACTAAAGAAGTGACCTAAAATATGTCTTAAG